TTGATTAAATAACAAATTGTTGTACCAAGCCTCTCTTAAAAAGTCACTTGGAACATGTTTTTGTTACTTCTGAGGCTCACTCTTTCAAATTCTGCTGGTAAATTTTTTTCTTCACAGCTCTTTTAAATGTAATCAAAAAGAATTTTTTGCCTTTGTTGTAGTTGCAAACTAGCACCATGTAAAACCCTGACCATAGCCAAAAATTATGCACAATGACAAAAATGGTATCTGGTTTCTAAATGAAACTGAAGTGGACGAGTTCTCTTTTTTAGTTCCCCCAGTGAAAACATCGATTCTTAATACTAAGGACAGCCAGTTATACTATGCTCAAATTCTGAGCTTTTTTGTTGTTGTTTCTTCAACTAAACAATGTCTTTAATTTTGCAGATTAAAATTAGGTTTAGCTTTGAAGGGTGAAATTATAACGAAAGAAAAAAAAATCAAACATTCAACTGTGCCTATTAATCATTAAGGGTGCAATCTCTGCATGGGATTCTCCATAGGGCAAAGAAAGTGTTACTGCAAGCTGTCACAACCCTGGGACTTGTGATTTTCAATTGATGTAGAATCTTGAGAGAGAATTAGCCTTTTATGTTTCAGTTGTTAACAAGCTGCTGGCCTTTTTTCTCTATCACCAATACCTGGTAATATTTTCTCCCTCTTGGTTTTGGTTTTTGGGTTTTGTTTGTTTCTTTCTTTTTTATTTTTCATGTAGTCTTTATCATTTAGACAGCAGTCTAAACTTGTTTTCAATAACTGTCAGGTGTTATCTGCTGAAGTACAGAAGAGGCATTTTTGCTGTTGAGTTTGGACAGTAGAAGAACATTTAATATGTTGCATTTGAAGACCACTCATTTTCTATTCTTGAAAGCATATTGCAGCAATTACAACTGACTATATCCTGCAGATTGTGAAGCTAAGCCATATTGTAGGACTACAAGATCTTTTTTATTGTCTTAAGTTGCCTGTGTTTTTTAACTTGTCTGCCCCTCCTCCCTCAAATCCCCCTCTTCTAGAAAGAAAGACTTGTTTGTTCCTGCTCTGCCTGTGAGGTCTTTGCAGCCTCCGCTGTGTGGGTGCAGAGCCCCTTATTTAAATGCTTTCCATAGCCGTGGAACATAAGGAACAGGATGCATTAGAAAACTGGTAAGTCCTAGCTAATAGATAAAATGAAGCTCTTTACCTTTGAATTCAAAGTACTTAAAAAGAGCTGTGCGTGTCAGCATCATCACAGACCCATGAGATGTGGAAAAAATAAAATGTCCTTATCTGAGATCACATTGATAAGCATGTTCTTTAGAGTGCAGATCTCTGCAGTTGCATCCGTGGTAAGTAATGGAGAATTGAGAATGTAAAAAAAAAAAACCAATCCACCCACAAAACAAACAAATAAACCAAAGCAACAACAAAAAGCTTTAAACGCCTCTTTTTTCACTGCCATTGAAACAAGATATGTTTCCTTTCTTTTCATTAAGTATTGTATTGGAAAGGATAAAAATTACATTCTTCTTATCACCAAGGTGGCTGAGTGTTATTACTGCTGGGTGTTTGGTCACTGATTCTTCTCTTGGATATGTTAAGTCAATGAAATTCAGTTAGCTGGATCTTCTTTTAATATCCTGACTTTTAGTTTATATTCGGGGTTAAAAATAGTTCACTCATATAAAAAACATCTCCATGATCTGTTCTGAGGACAGTTTAAAATTTTATCAGTTTGAAGTCTTTTGCATTTTCATTCTTGAAATAATAAAATGTTGAGAAACATCCTTTTAATGGAGACCTGATTGATAATAATTTAGAAACTAGAGTTTTAGGTTCAGTTTCCGAAGAATTGCCAAATCATCTCATTAAGTTTTCCTCTAATATTTATTGATGAATATTAAGTACACACCAAAGTCTCAGTATCTTATGATATTCCAGTTTTAGATACGCTTTCAGTTACAAAATTACTTAAAAATAGACATTAGAAGGCATTTTGGGGGGATCTAGGATGAGGGAGGGGTTAAAATGAAAAATATCAGAGAAACATGATTTCTTTCTTTTAGTTTTTGTTGTGAAGTCAGTAGATGAGAAGAATGGAGCAAACAGTGGTCAGAGAGAACAGGAATAATACATGCAGCTGTCAGAAAGATACACTTATGTAAAATATGAAGCATTTGGCATGAGTAGGAAATTATTTACAAAACTACCTATTCATGGAAAAGAGACCTAGGGAAATAATACTTGTATGGTGCATTCAGGAAAAACAAAACCATAACATATTGAAAGAATGTTACTGATACTGCACTTAAGTGTTTAACTAAGGTTAGATGCTTAAATTTTTATGAGGTTATCTGTAACATGCCTTGGCTGTGAACTGCATTGAGGCAGGACTCCAAAACCTCCAAAACCAAGATATGATTATATCTTTGGGGACTAAACCGTAAAGGCAGCCGTTTTAACCAAAAGAAATTGACATTTTTCAGCTTCGGTTACTTAATTTTTACAAACTAGGTAGTCTACTTTTAACTTAGATGTGCTTCTTTCCGGTGATTGTAATTTTCAAACTTTCTTCCCTCTTGGCTTTCTACTGTAACTGACCTTCCATCTTGTTTAATAACAGGGTTTGAATCCCAGAACTTCTGAAGGGTAGCACAGACTTCAGATGGAGTTTCTAGAATTAACTGACAGCAGGGGAAGGCTGTCGTTTTCTGTTGTTCCCTACTAACTCCTTCATTACTGCTTTTAAGTTGAAAGAGGGTAAGATATATAAAGCAAAAGGCATGGTCCTGGTTCCAGACTTGAAAAGAGAGAAAGAAGGACATATATTCCCCATTCCAGCAATGTCATGTCTAGCTTGTCTAGAACTGCTAGATGGGCTGCTTTTCTTTTTGCATTGCTTTCTCTAGCTTCAGCTTTGCCCTAATTTGGTAAGTGTAGGTAGTCTAATTGCTGTCAGTCTTCCAGCAAACACTGCCCAGTGGAGATCCTGGAGCATGTAATTAAAAGTTCGCTGCCCACATCCTTACAGGACAGCTGTTGAAGCTGTTTGAACTTCTGCTTAACATTTTCTGGTGTCTTGAGGCCAGTCTTCCTGTTGCTGCCTTAGAGACCACAGCGTGTATAGGAAATCTGGTTACTTAGCTGATTCTGGTCAACTTCTTCCTAAAGTTCAGTTCTGATGGGGAAGTGATGCTGGATGTCTCGTCGCATCAACTGCTTAATTTTAAGCTTTGATCCACAAGAATGTCATCTGCCCACTGGTTTTTTTCCATGCTGGATAAGGATGGGACTTGTGGGTTGGAGTTGAACCTCTGGCCCTTGGTATTCTTTTTGTTGTTTCTGCTTGGCATTGGAATTCGGTTTCTGTTCCTACTTCACTGGTTCGCTTACCTTTACAGGAAGTTTTATCTTATTAGTGATCGTATGTGTGAAGCTCTCTCACTAGTAACTGCATAAAATATTATTTCAAATTACTTCAAGCTATTTGACACCATTTAATTTTGACGTGACTCATGAAAATGTGACCCATCTACCCATTAGACTGTTGACTATGTGCTAGACCAGTTGAAAGGGTAGACTGAAGAGTTGAGTCTGTAACTGGTTTAGTCTTTTTTTTTTGACTTTCTGTTATCACTCCAGTTAGTATATGGCATTTGTTCTTCATATATTACCTCTCAATGGAAAGGTGAGCTGTGGCAAGGGGAAAAGGGAGCAAGGCTTATGGACTGAAGGGCTTTTCAGTGAAAAGATGATACCGATTCTTTATGAGATAGTTCTCCTTTCTTATGGCAGTTATGAGTGTTAGTGTTGCAGGAATCCTCTATATGATGAGAACATTAAATCAAACTAATTCAACAGATGGTTTTCTTTGCCCCAAATCATCCTGTCATCCTAAAAGAAGCTCTCTCCTTTTTTTTTCTGTTTCCATAAACTATAAACCTCATTCCCAGAAAAAAAATATAAACCCCTGCCATTCTCCTATCACTGCTTTATTCTGTAGCATATTGTGAATGTTAACAGATTCAGGCTATTACAGAAAACACAATTGAGAGTTAATTCCAAAAGCCCTTGAAAATGTTGTTCTTGCAATACAGTCAGCCTTTCCCAGCCCTATGTTTCGCTATGGAAACTCCAGTCCCTCTGTTGACTTCAACCATACTGGTATCATATGAGGGAGAAATCCGGCCTGTCAGGTAGATGCATCCCAGTCATGCATTATTTTATAAAATAAAATTGTCTCAGACCTTGATTTTATGGGGGAGGATGGGTTCTCATTGTGCATTAGGCATAGGAAGTGACACTTTTTATTCTCCACTCCCGAGAAAAGATGCATTGCATACTGCTGTGGGGTAAAAGAAAATGAAGCAAAATCTTTCTTATGTTGATGTCTGTATAATTCATCTGCCATTTCTGTATCTGCTCTAATTTTGCCTGTCAAGAAGCTCTAAATAGAGTCTGTAACACTAAAAGCTTGATGTGACATGGATGTGAATGCTTGTTGCATGATCTGCACTGCAGTGGGAAGAATTTAACTTCCACTTAAATTAACCTTTAACTAGATGTAGTTCAGTATAAGTAGGATGATCCATTTTGTCATTCTCTGTGTTCTTGAGTTTAATGATTCTAAGATTTCACATGAATAAAAAAAGTTATTTTATACTATTTGTGTCTAAAGTGAGAATAGTTTATTAGAAAGAAGAGAGATCCTTGTAATTCGACTTGAAATATTTTACTACCACTTTTGAATTTTTCACCAGCTTACATATTTAACTGTTCTCAGAAGCTTTTAGAACAAGTATGCATTCTTAAACAGGAGACTATTACGTTAATTTTACACACGTTGATTGCTCACACATATGAGCATACATTTCACACTTTGAACATCAGTGTAACTGCATGTTTTACACTGTCATGGCTTGTCATATAAATTTTTTATTATATGCCTTTTATGGATAATACTTTCCTTGCATGTATTTGTTTGAATTTCATTTTAAATGTTTATTGTTTTGGTTCCTTAGCCATGAATCAGCGAATCAGCCAAAGTGCTCCAGTGAAACAGCCACCTCCTCTGGCTCCTCAGAGTCCTCAGGGTGGTGTGATGGGTGGGAGTAGCTCCAATCAGCAGCAACAGATGAGACTTCAGCAGCTACAGATGGAGAAAGAAAGGCTGAGACTGAAGCATCAAGAACTGCTTCGGCAGGTGAGGCCACAGGTTAGACACCTACTTCCACTATTTCTTTTGTATGTTATGTTTTGATTTGGCTAAGTTGTTGTTTCAGTGAATCTTAAAGACCTGTGTCTGTACAAAAAGCTTTGACATCTAGAAAGGTCTGAATTCATGCTCTTACTGATATCAGCTTGGTAGTGAAAGTATCTTACTTATCAGACTGAAGGATTTTGGTTTCCTTCCTTATTCCTCCCTCTAAAAGAACTGTGAGAACAGGTTTCATAAACCAAAAAGGATGACAACATGGACTGTTGATATGATTGGATATTCCTCTTGAGGATATATTTCATATTCATTGAGTTCCAAGTCATGTAAAAGGCAAAAAGTTGGTTCCCACAACTGCTTTGGTTTTCCCTTTTAAGTGGAAGAAAGTCTTCAGTTTTAGAACCTGTCGTAGTCTGCAGTATTTTGAAGTATTTTTAAAGTTCATATAAGATACATTAAGGGGGACACCTTGTTGCCAAAATCTTGCCTGTTCAACAGTGGAGTGAGCATGGAACAACTGAATCACTGCTGCGTTTTGAACCCATGGTTTTCTTATGCTGAAGAACTTCAAACTTCATAATTAGGCTACAGGCTATTCCTTTCAGTATTTTTCTACTATATGAATATAGCTGTAGCAGATGTTAAAGTGTAGGACTGGACTTTGCAGTCTCTGGATGTTGAATTCGGGCTTGACCTCCTTTTGACTCTAAGCCTTCTGCTTTGATTTTTCCATCTGAATGTTTTAAGAGTTGCTATCATCTGTGCTAGATACTTAGGGTATTCTTTGGGGTTTTGACACTGCAGAGAAAGCACTAATCTTTTCTTTGAGGAAAACCTTCTAAAAGCTTATCCTTTTCACTTTGGGTGATGGGCCTTGTATCAGAAGAGGATAATATCTTAATGTCCTCAAAGACAGCTTTTCTCTTTCTTCATCACCTGCAGTATTCTGTCCTGGATTCTGACTCCCGTTATCCCCTTTGTAGTCAAGGCCTGTTTTGTAGGAATCTTCAGCATCTCTTGGTGTAAGATGGGTCATCTTTACAGCCGTTACTTTTTATAGTACTCTAGGTAAGAATACATTGCAAAGGTGGTATCAGGACTTTCTCTCTGCTTAAGCACCTGGGCTTCTGCTGTTCCTGCTTTGCAATTAATCCACCAACAAACATTTTACCCTGCGCTAGCATGCTTCTAGGTAGGCCTTCTAATTGTCTTCTTGCCTCAGTTGTCATTGAGAACCTGACTAACTTTGGACCAGGTGACAGCCAGTTTTCTTCATGTTGTTCTCTCTAGTCGTCAAGCTTATCTGTCAAATACTCATCCTTGGTAAATCTGTGAGTTTTGTTTCACTGTGTCATGATTTTTATAGTTTCTTAACTCCCTTATCCTGTCTCATCTGGCCTGTCTTGGGGGCTTGATACTACAAGATGGTGTTTGTAAGACAGCCTGCATAGGTAAACCATGCAGCTAAAGTAATTTTTATCCATCTTATTTTTACTCTTAGGCATTGCGGAATATCAATCCCAGCACAGCAAATTCTCCAAAACATCAGGTAGGCTCTTAACTGATGTTTCAGCATAATTAGAAAAATGAAAACATTAAATTAGGCTATCAGGGAACTTTTTGCTACATAAAGGCATTCTAAGAACAGAAAAAACATACGAACAAAACCAAGCTCTGCCATGCGAATTTTTGAACTACTTTTCTGGTCGTGACCCTAAACACTGTTTTTTAAGAGTGCTGCATTACCACAACTTTATATCAATATTTAGGAGCAAATGAGGAATTCATTGCACATTTTTCTGCATTGAAAACAACCTTCTTGTTTAGAATTCTTGAGGATACTGCTATTCCAGTCCCGTTGTCATCAAGATGTGTATTTAAAAGAAACTATCTAAGGTAGTAGTTAGTGACTTTTAAGTACTGTTCATATGAATGTTCTTATCGGTTTGTTTAAACAGGTATGATCTTAAAGAAGGATATCTGTAATCAGTTAATAAAAAGTCACTTGAAATATTTATGATTTTTAAACATGCACAGGTAACAGAATTACTTAATAGATTAGACTAACAAAATAATTGCTATGCAATTATATAATACATAATATGTAATTATTCCATTTTGACATTTAGCAGGCTCTTTCACAGGTACATTTTCCAAATAGGAACAATTCAGAAAAGCCTTTCAAGTTCAGACCAAAACAAAATTGCTCAAAATGTGAAACATAATAAACAGGTTAATGTGATCTTCTTTTAGTTTCTAAAGAAGTTGAATATGAAATGAATCTCTGAAAGGGTGATTTATATGTATATTTAGAGAGCTTCATGTTTGCTGGTGCTAACAGTATTCTTAATCTGTTGGTTCTTTGTACAATATTTATATTGGCTTGTATTGTACTTTTTGTTTTAAGAAGAACAACTGTATGCACTAGGCAGGAAAAGCAGAATAAAAGAAAGTATCCTGTGTTTGAAAGCCATGGTGTACTGGTGTACTATTGCATACCACAAAATTTGTATGTTACTATTTCAGAGAAGAGGAGCCTCAGACCTTAGAAATAGTGCTGACATCCTGGAATAAATACTTTGCTTGGCAATACCAGTGCAGTTCTTAAACTGAAGCATTTTAATTGAGATGTAATAACTTGATTCATTTACAGACCATTAACCACATAATGATCTTGTCAATCAATATTAGATACTATTCTAGAGGAGGAAAAAAAAATCCTTAAGAACTGTGAATATACAAGAGAATAAACAAAGGAGGACACTCCTCCACACCAGTTGGAAACACCTTATCTTCTGGCCTAATAGGTCATTCAGAAGGATTCAGGAGGGATGTTTTTCTTACTGAATGCCAAAAGCGTATTCTATGTTGTCTTGTATGCCTGGAGCCCTGTCATACCATTGTTCATTCTTCCACAGTATCTTCTTCCTGTAGCCAACTCAGAAATATGCAGCGAATGGAGAACTTTGGTATCAGTTTCATACTTAACTCTATAAGATGAGATTTTTGGAACTTCTTGAAATTCTGGCTTTAAATCCTAAAAAGCTGCAAAAACTCAAAGGGCCTATACTGATAATTCATTAAATGCCTATCTAGTCATCACTCTGCTTTGGGATAGAAACTGATGAAAAGATTTGTCCAAAAATCAGGATTGCTGTTACATTTAAACTAACTTGATTTGATACCAGGCTCACCTCTATAGTCACCTGCCTGGGATCAGTTTTATTAGTCTGCACTTGTTAATGAGTTAAGGTGTGTTTGAGTGATCTGTTGGATAGAAAAGTACAGAATCATGTCAACTTATAAGTTCTATAGTACTAGATTATTCATGTTGTATCATCTAAATGTATTTTTTGTGTTTTCGTGTGTCACGTCAATAATGTATTGAGCAGCCACAGGTGGAAGAAAGTGCTTAGAGAACTGCTTCTGGAAATTGTTCTCTAAATGCTTCTTGAGGCCTTGTACTATAGAGGCAATTGTTGTCTGTCTTCTCCCATAATGCTATCTGCATATCTGATCAGGTCACAGATGACCTAGTGAATCTGTGAAAAATCTGTAGAAAGAATGAACGTTTCTTCAGTCAACTTTTTCTTTCTGACAGATCCTTTCTTTCTTTTTGAATAAAGTTAATGAAGTCTGAAGGAATTATCTGCTTTCATGATGATAAAGGTGTGCTTGATGACAGAATAATAGCTTCTCTTGCTAAATTTTAGATGTTCTCTTAAGGAATACTGAAAATAAAATCTTCATATGTTCAGTGCTCTTAATTCTGTGAAGACTAAAGTCTTTTGTTTGTAAAGAAATTTTGTGACACCAGCATTCTTAAAACTTGTCTCTAATGAAATATCTGGCTTATATGGATAAAAAATCCTTAACTTTTAATGGGATCTCTGAGCTTTTCTAAATCACAGAATCAAATAGGTTGGAAGGGACTGGTAGAGGTCATCTAGTCCAACATCCTCTTCCTTCTTGACATTTTTGTCCATGTATCTTGGATACAGTACCATGGGTGCATTGTTGTCTATGGTCAGGTTTTTTTGGTACTGAGTGCTCATAGTGTCCTTGCCCCTTTTTATCTCTCTGCTGTGATACTGTAGTGTGCTGTAGTGACACTAACACTCCAGGTGTTATGTATGGAGGCCTTAGCTCCTTCTGGAAGGAGTAAACAATTGCTCAGCTTCATCTGTTTTTAGCAAGCACCGTAAGAGACACTCCTTGTTTGAATGAGGATTTTATTGTAATGCTAAAAATATCCAAGTCAAAGGTATCTGTAGCAAAAACTGTAATTTCCAGACTTATCGTGTGTAAACAAGAACTGTCGATACATCCAGGAAATTTGAAAACACCAAGCATCTGTCCGGTTACTTAACGCTCTTCATTATCAATTATGAAACTTTATAGATGCCTATCTGTCTTAGTTAAGAGATTGAATGACTTGAGTTTCTCTCCATCCCCAGTAGCTCTCCTTCCATTTTTCTGCAGTTAGCATCTGGTTGTCAACAATGTCTCACCTAGAGCAGATGTTAATCAACTTTTGTATATGTCATAAAATTGACCAGATATTAAGTAACAGATTTCTTGCCTTCTGGTATGTGATGGAAAGAAATAGAGACAAATAATGTCAAGGCACTGATGGCATTATTCTTAGATGATGTGCAAACTACTTTCTCATGCTAAGACTGGAAGATTTATTATTTATCTGCTACTAATATCAAGACATTTGTTAGTAAGATCAGCATACTACACAGACATTTATGAGATAGGTTCCTATGTATATGCTTGCTCATTCTGTATCTACTGCTTGTTTCTAGCACTGAAATGAGATCTCTGAGAACAGCCCTGCTTCCCTGCTACTCTGTTCAGCTGTTGCTTTCCAGCTTGGCTTTTCATTACCTCTGTGCTGCTTTCTTGGTAGTTCTGTATACCTGGAATGTGCTCTCTGTTGATTGTTTCCATTCTTTTGTCCTTTATATTGTATGAAGTACCTCTCATATTCTCTGTCCAGTTGACCTAAACTCATTTCTAATCAACTTTTGAGTGATATCCTGGAAATTTCCCTTCTCGGTATAGAATCTGCAGAGACATATGGCCGGTCTGTCACTCTCTGCTGAGTCACTTGGTTTTGTTTCATACTTTTTTCATGTTTGCACTGCATAAAATATATGCACTTACAGTATGGAATAGTTACTGGGTTTGAAATATTATTTTAGTTTCCTATAGTTCCTGGTTTTTTAGAAGTTCATCTTGGTTGATGTTTGACACCTTTCATCAGCTTAGTTGAGAAGATTTTGAGTATTCCAAGTAAATATTAATTTCTTAGAATACTCATAAATTGTTTTACAAGAAAGAATTTTTTTTCCCCAGTCACTTTTCATGCACACCAATACAAAGCTGTGTTACTGTCAGATTTGGGACATGTTCTAGAAAGAAAGGAAGAGGTCATTTAAAACAAGTGCAGTCTTGAATTCTGTACTCTCTGAACTTCCATGATGTTAGTGAGGCTGGAACTTCTACTGAAGACTTCAGGTATTATTTGTGACCCTTTTGTTGGGTTTTAATTGCTTGATAGCTCTTTTTACTAGTGCTAAGTTTTGCTTTATCCCTCGTGGTTTAAGTTTTGTTAGCAGTTTCTTTAGCACAGTGAAACAGAGCAAGGACAGAAAGTTGGTACTCTCCAAAATCAATAACAAAATGTTAGTAGAGAACTGTCATGAAGATAAGGGAGCTGAGCAGCATATATAATATCATAAGATTCCAAGGAAGCAGAAATCAACTTTGTATGCATTTATTTATCTCAGCTTTCATTGAACTGTTGATATGCTTTAGTTAGCAGGAATATTTGACTTCATTAGGTAACAAACTGTTGTTATTCACTGGACTACCTTCCAAAAATCTTTGCAATTGATGAACTGAGTCCTTTAGTCTGTGGCAGTAAATTCAGCATGTAGTAACAAGTCTTAGCTTACTGTCTTTATATTGGCATCTGATTCTAGGAAAGCACTTGTATTTTAGGTAGCTAAAGATTAGTTCAGATAATCTGTGAAGTACCTGTCAATTACTCAGCATCAATTGCACAGAGCTTTGTTACAGAGTACCATGAGGCTTACACATAAGGTAGCACACCTATATAGTACCGTGACTTGGGAAATTAATTCACAGGAAGACTTAGTCAGCTGGCTAGAGCCATCCTAAACTGGGGCTGAAGACTGCAGCTGAGGAGTTGTGTGGTATTTTTTTAAGCAAAATATTTGCTTCTTAATAAAATTACTTCTTGCAGAGAGGTCTGGTAGACATGCTCTGGCAAACTGAACTGCAGCAGTTTAAGATGTTTAACTCGGCTGTCTGCCAGTGATTGCCTTAATAATAAGGCAGCAGAATAGGATGTATTTAACATCCTTTTTGCATAACCTATTAGCTGAAGCATTGGTGCGGCCACACTGCAAGACAGATCAAATATCTGATCTGTCAGAAAAAAACATTTTTCAGCTCAGTCTGTTTTCTGATTTGTCTTAGTGTATGGCCATACAAATGCTAGTTACCAGCTGAAAGGAGGGTAAGAATATGCAAAGGCCATCTGTAACTATCAGTAGAAAGTCGCTTGGAGTTGCCCACTGCGTTGACCCACAGTGATTAAAAAATCGAGATCTTCCTCTGACCTGACTAAAAAACTGCTGCTTCTAAACACTATGAAATAAATCTGAAAGTTTTGTCAGAGCATCAAGGATTTCAGCTTGAAGTGTGATGTCCTGTAGAAATTATGGAGATGTTCCTTGACCACATTATTGTTGAAGTTTCTGGTATTTCTGATGAGCATGCACTAAGGTACTGCTTTAAATACATGATTGGACATAAATAAGCAGACTGAGACCAAGTTGTTGAAAGGGAGTCCTGTGTGGCTGCATTTGGGGGGGGGGGGGCAGTGTATGCTGGCTGCCATCAAAGTATACAAACTGTGGAATTCAGCTAGTTTTACTGCAAAAGCAACATTGCTGTTGTTCAGCCATCTTGGGAACTAAATGCTTTAAATGTTATTCAGGTCCTGAAATAGTAGAGTAGCTTCATTCGTTATTGAAAACCATAGATCTAAGTGAAACTTTATTAGTTCATGTAGCAAGAGTTTGAGTTTCACACACTCTTGGTTTAAGTGGGAGCAGATGAGCAGCATTAGCTGGAAGATACCCAATAGGAAAGATATTTGTATTATTTTAGTAATTTGAAAATTCAGAAGCTGTTGATTGGACTTGCAGCAATTAAGCTTTACAGATCAACAAAATAATTATATTGCTTACTTGTGAAACTAGATCTTTATGGATAAACACCTTGTCTTAGTCTGTAGAGTAAACCAGAACTGCCTTCATTGCCTATGCCTCTCATTGCTTCAGGACACATTTTGTGTCTGTATAGGAGTTGTAGCTCTCTGCAGAGGGTTTCTTGTAGTCACCAGTGCTGCTTGCAGTTGCAAAACTTAATCACAGAAGTACTGCTAAAGCAATTGGGCAGCAAAAGATACAAGTACTGTTGACCGAGTATGAGATGGCCGTGAATAATAAGCGGTAGAGGGAGGCCATTCAGCTGTGCATGGCCTTCCTGATTGCTTACTCCTCCTGACAGATACCTTCCTTACAGAGCTCTGAGACACTTCAGCAGGGCAGGTGTAGTGCTGTGGAACCAGGAGTAGGTAGATACTAAGAGGGTATAAAGCAATGGCTTTATACCTCAAGAGGAATATGAAGCAGGGGCACAGCAAAGGACTGCAAAACCAGACAAGAAGCCAGACTTCCATTACAAAAGTCTATTCCATTTTATGCTGCCCTATCTGTGCTTGTCATGCTCTACATAGCGTTGAGTTCTTTTCTAGGTGTATGCAATAGAATTAATTGTCACTCTGTGAGTATCACCTCTTAAATTAATTTTGCTGATTTTCACAGTTGCAGCACTGAATGATATGTTTTCCCCTTACTCTTCACAAATTGCATAACTCATCATTGCTGAGTTCATTTGTCTTCATCTGTCTGTGTGTCTTCCCTATTTCTTTTGTATATGTGCTGTAACTCTGTGGCCGTCACAAGAATGCAGACAGTTAATACGAAGAAGAAACTAGTGCTGTGTGTCCATAAGTGTTGTGGTGTTGTCCTTCCCCTAAAACTTCTCTCCCATGCCAAGGAAGCTTGTGGATAATTTGATAGTCAAGCAGTGGAGCAGTGGTTGGGGGCAGAAATGTTACAATTGGCACTCTTAAAGTAAATTTATAAAACCAATTAAAAGTATATATTAATTCAAATTGAGTAGTGTATCATATGTTTGATACAGTAAGAATATAAGTGAGTTGCACAAGAGAGTCATCTGCCTTTCCTGAAAAGCACATGAAGATAAAAATGCTCTGAAAAAGGTATTTTTATAAAGTTACTCTGGACATGGTGTGAATGACCTGGAACTGCATGTAAAATTTAATCTGTATGCAATTATGACAAAAAAACCATGGATAAGGTCAGCCAGATAAACTACACAGTGCTGACCTTATTTTTAAAATTATTTAAGGAGATGACAGATCATTTTGGTCTTTTTGTAATAACAAAAATTCAGCTTTTGTGTTACCAATAGGTATTAATCTTTTCTTTTCCCAGAGGTACTTAAAAAAAGTTTGACATACTTACAAAAATAGGATGAGATCAGGTTATAGAAATCTAAGCCAGGATTTTGTCATGGTTTTATTTTTGCCTCCAGACTTTAAATACTTATAATAAAGGATATATTTTAAAGCATGAACTAAAAGCCTAGAGTTCACATTGCTCTGTTTGGAGCTGGGAGAGGCTTATACCCTTCCATACATTTTTTTACATTTAGGAAGCATAAGTTTTTTTATTGCAAATCAGTTTTATAAAGACAGAGAAATGAAAAGACCATTCTTCAAGCAACACAACTTCAGTTTCCATTACGTGGACATTTTAGGAAAAATAATCTTAATACACTCTTTAGGGCTTGTAGGAAACTGCTTATCTTACATAATGATTTAAAATTGCTCTGTATTTGTTTCTGAGTAGTCCATCTTTTTGGGTAATTCCTTTCTCTTTCAGACTCCCAGAATGACATAAGTGTATTACTTAAATGACTAATGTAATAATATTCTTTCAAGGGGAAAGTGCTTCTGACTTCTAAATAAGTATCAGTAATGGTACTTATAAATAGTTAAAAATAGTTGTAGTTTTGCATTTTTAGCAGTGTTGTTGAAACAAGGGTAAAAGTAGTACTAATTTTAAAAATACTAGTTGGACTACATTGTACGTGCCGAAGAATAGGCAAAATACAATTGTCTCTCCTGGCTTAATACAACTCTTTTTAGTGGGCCTTCAGTGAAATGTGAGTAACAGAAAAGAATTTGTGGCTTTTTTCTTTCCTAGTATCAGTAGCTCTTGAAAAGGGGACGTGTATGGATTTCCTCTTCTCTCTTTTTCTCACTCTCAACTATTAAATCAGGAGGCAGTGCTGATTGGAAAGACCAGGCCTACCACACAATGAGATACAATGTCACTTTCATGCTTCACATACAAAAATGAGTCCATGTAGGTTTTGCTTTTTTACTACTCTTTGTGGCACTAGTGTATGATTAAGCTGCTTCTGCAGTTTTGGCTCCTCCTCTTCATCCTAGTCAGGGACTGCAGCTCAAGGAAATAAAGATGCAATGTACAGATCAAACCAAGAGGAAAAGGACAAAGCATGTGAGTGAGCAGTTCTTGCTGTTTTAAGACCTTCTGCCTTCTTCATATCACTGTGGGAAGCATTCCAGGAACGAAAACTTTTTGGTTTTTTTCTAAATGGATTTAGTCTACCTGTATATCAGGTAATTTGTGACTGATGCAAGTTTGTATACTTAGCTGTAAAGTAAGACCTCATTATATAGGCTTTCAACTTGGGTTTAGTACATAAGCAAATAAAAATTATATGGATAAACCTTTATAAATTATTAAAAGGTGCCTAGTATCATGTGATCTGAAAATGAGGAAAGAGTATTATTACTATTTGTTAGAACAGTGGCAAAGTAAATGGTGGTAAGCAGGGGACTGGATTTACTTGAAGTAGGCAGTTGAGTGTGATGAACACAAAAACCAGTGGTAGGTTTGTACACTTTCTGCAAAGACCTAATCAAGTGTAGCGAGAAAATCTTCTAGCGCAAGACATAAAACTTGGTATTAAAGGGATATGTAATAATAATCCACAGGAATGGGAATGAAGCATATGCAGATGAGAAAAGTTAAAAAAACAGGCAGGAGGGAAGTATTCGATATTCAGCACAGTCTGCTGGAAAATAAAATAACCTTAAACTTTTTTTAAAAGAAACCACTTTGAAGAAGAATTGGAGAAAGGTTATTTTTTTATATTTTAAAAGTGTACAGTACAGTAGTCCTTAGGCTTGTCATTGAGAATGGGTGAAGATCTTTCACTTTACAAGTGAGAAATATTGAGTATTGTCAAGACTGACAAGATTGGTTTTGCCTGAGGTTATCTTTCCAGGCACAGCCTGGAAATGACATGCTACTAATAATGGTAACAAGATAGTCAAAAGATTTATTTACCAGTCTTTACATTAACAAAGCTCAGTCATGGTGAGCCATTGATGATGTTTTAGGAGAGTTGCTTGAAGAAAATTATTTTTTCTTTCACATGTTTAACTCATTGATTACTTGTTTAAAAAGGGGGAGAGGGATCACTGGAAATTGCATAAAGTGCTGCTTATCTCCATCCACCTTTAATTTCATGTATTTTATGTTAAAACTTATTTTCATTAATTACTAATGACAAGCTTTATGGATGGTTTGATTCAGGCTGGTGAACAGTCAGATGTGTAAAAATATATATGTAATCTAGTTTTGTAACTTCAGAATAGCAGTGTCTTAAATTTTATGGAGAAATTACTGGGAATTTAAAGAGCTTTGGGATTTATTTGTGGGACAAATCAAATAGATTTGATCAGTCAGAAATTTCAAAATACATGCCTCAAACAGGAAGAGTGAATGGGGAAGACTTGAAATAAGAAAGGTACAAAGGAAGCCAGGGAGTGAATCAGAATTTAAGAGAAACAGGGGAAAAGTGCTAATCAGTAGAGGTAGACAGACCCCATATATTTGGAGTCAGATAGTATTAGCAATTCTTTTTTTAGTCTTAAGAATATACTTAGCGAAAAGATACTGAAATGAATTAGAAAATATTTATGTAAATATACAGATATTTGTATCCATAAATACATTTTCAGTGCAGTCATGCTGGGCATGACTTGTGGAACTTGCATTGTCATTGAAGCCAGGACAGATTCTTGCTTTGTCCTCAGAAACTTAATTTCATTTAACTCTTGTAACTGGAAGCAGTAAAAGCATCAATTATCTATAATGTCACGTATCTGTGTATCTGAAAAGTGCATTCAAATGCCTAACATGATCTCTCTTTTTCCCCCCTCCTGCTGTTCTAGGAATTGGCTCTCCGTAGCCAGCTTCCAACAATGGAACAAGACGGTGGATCGCAAAACCCCGTGTCATCTCCTGGAATGTCTCAGGAACTGAGAACAATGACTACAAATAGTTCTGATCCCTTTCTTAACAGGTTTGTAGGAGTAGCTACTAGAGGAAAAAAATTTGATTTAAAATTCTGTTTGGTACATGTAATAGTTTATTTTGAACATCTGTCTGTGCCAAGAGCCACAGCTGTAAATGAATCTTTCCTTAAATGGCAAGTCTAGTAAAAGTTGAGGATTAAAAGCTGTCTCCTGTGGGAGGAAGTAGTCTGTTCAGACTTGTAGGAAGGTTTTTATTCAAAGTCATAACATGTTTGTCTCTGCATAATCTGTTGACTAACAGTCATTTCAAATTACTGACTCAAAGAATTTGTGAATAGCTTGCTGTGAGATCAAATGAACTGTGAGGCACATTTAGGACTACACCTTGAGGTTAAAGTTTCTCCATTCACCCCTTTCTTCCACTTCAAGTATTTAACAGTATTTTTATTCTCTTAATGTTAGGTTTGCAAATAGTGGCATGTTTCATTTTAAGCGCTGTATTATTTAGAAGTGGCTATTTTAATTCAAGATTTAGAATTTTAAGGTATACACTAGTTTTTAATATAACTTTTTCCTTAATCCCTCTGAGTTGGAGTGTTTGTTTTGCTGGAAATACTGTTCAAATTACAGCTTGCAAATGCTTCATACTAAACATTACAACTTTGGAAAAAACTGCTGGAGCTTGAGATAAATGATGTCTGTATTTTGGGTAACCCCTCAGGAAAATTTATCTCCTACACAGATAAATATGACTAGAAAACTTAATTTTTTGTTAGAGGGAGGGATTATCCTCTGTGGAATTCATCCTGGGATCTTGTGTGAGCTGCAGCTGTGCTGGTCTTGTCATAAAGAATAGAAAGGACAAGAAATGTTAAACCTGACCTGCTCTCCTATGAGAAGGCTCAGTAGACAGATGATGGTCTTGTTGTGTTCTAGTAACATACTAGCTTGAATTTTTGGAAGGCTGTTGTCATCATACATACAGGTCCTCACATCTTCAAAACCTGTTTTCTGAAAGAAATGCATCTTCAGGTTTCAAATGGCCACAGCAGTGGGCTGATGCAGTTTATCCATTGCGAGTCTACACACACGAAATACGAAGTGATGGATCTTTGCCATTAGCTACAAACAGGACAAAAGCTAGAAAGGGCAAATTCATGTTTTGTAATTTTCTGGCAGGTTGATATTTACTGTAAAGTGCAAAAAGATACTGCTTGCCTAGTTGCATATAGGTTTGACTGGGTTTGTGGGCTTTTTTTGTAGCCCTTACTCCACGCAGAAGATTAAAAATGTGTACTTGACTTGAGTTCAGAATATTTTAATTTGCATTTTGATCTGAGCATTGTCTCCTTCTAGGTTATTTTATGTGCATCACCTCATTTAATTCTATCATATGGGTATGGGAAAGGGATTTTTAAGAAAGGACATTTGTGAAAATGCTTTGCTGTCCTGAATTAGATACAACAGTCTGATAATTTTGCTCTAAAGTTCTTGTTGGTATTCCTTATGTTAAAGTTCAGACTTAGGGAAATACTTCGTTCTGTCTTTATAGACTGTATATAAAGTTCCTGGTGAACTAATTTTAGGCCTAGGTCCTAGTTTTAGGCCCTGAATTTGGATATCCAAAGTTTAGGTAGTCCACTGCTTGTATAATAGAAACATTAAAAAAAAAAAAATCTCAGTAAATAATCAGTACACTGGAGCAATTTGAGAAAATGTGCAGTAGTGTTTTCATGTACATAGTCTAATCTTCTGCCTGCTATCTTCAGTACT